ATTCCTGACTCCAGGGAGACCTCCTACCCTTGGCACCCCAGGGCTCCGCACCACGTCCCTGGCCCCAGGCTAACCCATCCCTGTGAGAGCGCCCTCTCATGCTGCCTACACCACCGTGTCCCGTGTTTAGGGGCCATGCTCATGGCCATCCGACTGCAAGGCATGGATCTGGAGGAGACTGTGGCGCTAACCCGGGCCCTAGCCAACTCCGGGCAGCAGCTAGAGTGGCCAGAGGCCTGGCATCAGCAGCTCGTGGACAAACATTCCACAGGGGGAGTGGGTGACAAGGTCAGCCTGGTCCTGGCACCTGCCCTGGCTGCCTGTGGCTGCAAGGTGAGGTGCCTCCTCTCCAAACCGGAACCTCAGGCCTCAGAGGCGGGCAGCTCCCAACCTCTAATTTGGTCCAGAAAGAGCCCCCAAAGGCAGGACCCAAGCTCCTTGCCCCCACCCCCCATTCCCAGCAGCCCCCGTAACAGGACCGCTATCTAGCGCCCCTTCCTCTTCAGTACCCGAGAAAGGACCCCCAAAGGAAAAGCTGGGTACTCCTCCCTCGGCAGATACCAGCCTCCTTCCTCAGTCGTCGCCCTCCCCCCCCATCCCAAACCAGGACAATTTCTCTCCCATTCCCTCTCCACCAGGTGGACACCCACTACCACTTCTAACTGCAGCTGAAGTCCTAACCAGGGAAGTGAGGGAGGAGGTGGAGGGTGACAGTGCAGGTGTACTCAGACCCCTGTCCAACAGGTACCCATGATCAGTGGGCGTGGTTTGGGGCACACAGGAGGCACCTTGGATAAACTAGAGTCGATTCCTGGATTCACCGTCATCCAGAGCCCGGAACAGGTACGTGGAAGCCACTGATCAGTCATTGACCTGGATTATTGATGTAAACATTAAACAGAATCGCTGAAGGATCACTGATGGGTTATCAGTCAGGGCCACTAATGAGGATATTCATAAAAGTTATTCATGGGTCTTTGTTGATCATTGGACTTTGGTCAAAGTTACCAACAGACTTTTGGTTGGAGCCATTAATAGGGACTTGGTAAAAATCCCCGGTGGGCCATAGGGCATTGATTAATGTCACTGATGGGTTGAGCCAATCATTAATGAGGACTTATCAGAATTGTTCCTAAGTTACTGGTCATGGTTTTGACATTTGTCAAGGTGGCTGGTGAGTCCCTTGATCAGGGTTAGTGATGGGGTCATTGACGAGAGGTCACTGACAGTCGCTGGGAGTCCTGACATATGGGGATTTGGCCAGATGCAAGGTCTGCTGGAGAGAGTGGGCTGCTGTATTGTGGGTCAGAGCAAGGAGCTGGTTCCTGCAGATGGAATCCTGTACGCAGCCCGAGATGTGACAGCGACCGTTGACAGTCTGCCACTCATCACAGGTGACCTGACCCCACACTCCAGGGTCCACCTTCTGCATGTTAAACATCCCTGACTTCTGAGGGACCAGTAAAGGGTCCTCTCCTAAGGGGACTGTGGGACCTCCCCCAACCCCAGGGTAGACGTCCCTCACCACTCAAGAGGGCGACCTGGCTGAAGCACAAGAGTCCAGGCCCTGTGACGCCCCTCATGAGGGACTTGACCCTCAATGTTCAGAGTCCCTGACTCCTCATGTCTGACCTGAGAGCCAGGATGCCCTGCATCTCTCAGGAGGCGCCAAGCTCTCCTGTACCCACGGCCCCCTCTGCCTCCCTCACAGCCTCCATCCTCAGCAAGAAGGTGGTGGAGAACCTGTCTGCACTGGTGATGGATGTGAAGTTCGGAGGGGCTGCCGTCTTCCCGAGCCAGGCAAAGGCCCGGGAACTGGCTAGAGCGCTGGTGAGCGGCTGTGCCCAAGGAGCCTCTGCTGGGGAGGGCCTGCCCCTACGGGCCCAGCCTCCCCTTCATAACCGAGCAGCCTGCTCCCTGTGTGCCTCAGCCACATCCACTCAGCAGGCCTGTGTCACCATGGCCTCTGCCAGCACCTGGCTTCCCCACGCCCAGTTCCTCCTTCACCCCCTACTCAGTGACCTTACCAAGCAAGGCTGGCATGGCCCCGGGTCTGGGGAATCCTCCATGGCTCTTGGCCCCAGGGCCGGTACACGGTCTTTCTGACCCCCACCTCTGAAGTCGGGCACATTGCCTGCTTCACCGCTCCCCCCACTCCAACAACCAAACCCTTCTGGGACCCCCTCACTCCTGGGGAACTGGCACCCAAGAGAGCGGCACCGTCTAGAGTTTGGTAACAAGCGGGCCACAAGCGGACCCCCAGAATGCAGGGCAGGGGCCACACTGAACCATGTCTCCGAAGGTTAATGTCGGGGCAGGCCTGGGGCTCCGGGTGGCAGCGGCGCTGACAGCCATGGACCATCCCCTGGGCCGCAGCGTGGGCCACACCCTGGAGGTGGAGGAGGCGCTGCTTTGCATGGACGGCGCGGGGCCACCGGACCTGCGGGACCTGGTCATTAGGCTCGGTGAGTGGACCCGTAAGGTGTCGGGGTGGGAACTACAGGACCGCCTCCGCGGCACCTAAACCCCGGACCCACACCGGCAGGGGGCGTCCTACTCTGGCTCAACGGACAGGCGAAGGCCCAGGACGAGGGTGCAGCCCGGGTGGCCGCGACACTGGACGACGGCTCGGCCCGGGACCG